ACACACACACACACACACACACACACACACACACACACACACACACATCTCTACAGGATGTGGGATGGGAAGCAACCTGTGTCCTGGCCTCGGAGCCCACCCACCGCTGTCACCAAGGGAACTCTGAGCACTCAGATGCTCAGTCCCTAAGCCTATCTGTCCTGCTCCGCAGCGGATGCCTCCTTCGTGGCAGCCATTCCGTCCACCCAGGTCGTCTATTTCTTCTTCGAGGAGACAGCCAGCGAGTTTGACTTCTTTGAGGAGCTGCACACATCCAGGGTGGCTCGAGTCTGCAAGGTCCGCCCCACCCCCGCCCTGCGCCCCCTCCCCCTCCAGGTCTGGAGGAGCCAATGGGAATCGGGAAGAGGTAGGTGGAGCGGGTACTTGAGCGGCAAGGCCTTGATCCCCCAGAACGATGTAGGTGGTGAAAAGCTGCTGCAGAAGAAGTGGACTACCTTCCTGAAGGCCCAGCTGCTCTGTGCTCAGCCGGGTCAGCTGCCATTCAACATTATCCGCCACGCGGTCCTGCTGCCCGCCGAGTCTCCCTCTGTCTCCCGCGTCTACGCAGTCTTTACCTCCCAGTGGTGAGCACGGCAGGGAAAAGGAGGGCTGCGTTCCGGATTCGAGGGAGGCGGGAGCTGATGAGAGCCTACTTTATACTCTGCGCTTTACATAAGAAGGCATTTGAGCATCTCCAGACCCCAGAGATTCTGCTACCTTTCACGCACATGGGGAAGAAACAAAGCTCCACGTAGCTTTATTCAGCCCGGTTCCAAAGAGGATGGAAGGAAGTTTACAGAGGGCAGGCACCAAAAATCAGCAGAAGACCTCGCCTGGTGGTGCGGACCTGTGTTCTCAGCACTTGGAAGGTGGAGGCAGGAGGCTAAGGAATTGGGGGCCAGGCTGGGCTACACAGAGAGAGCTTGTCGCAAACAAAACAAGACATCGATATAACAAAACTAAACATGGTGATGAGAAGGAAGATTAGGAGTTCAAGGACAAAAAGTAAACAAGGGCTGGGATGTTGCTCAGTTGGTAGAGTGCTTGCCTAGCATGTACAAAGCCCTAGGTTTGACCCCCCCCCCCCAGGACGACATAAGTCAGTGGAACATGGGAAGAAGAGGCAGGAGGATCAGGTCATTCTCAGCTACCATGAGGACAGCCTCAGCTACTGGAGACTGTTTCAAAACAGACAAAACCCTTCAACTAGAAAAGGAAATGGAAGCAAAAGGAAATTACCAGAAGGTAGGGAGAGGGTCAGTATAGCACAAATGATGTTGTAAAACTAGCCTCAAATCTAGCAGCAGCCTCCTAATGGTCAGAGGTCAGGGCCAAGAGGGAGATTGTGATGACTGAGAAAACAGGAACCAAGAAAGGTCCAAAGGTCCCACAGCCGTGGTCTGGCATCACCGTGTGTAGGTACCTGCCAACTGTGTGTCAGCAAGCAAAGGTGTATGTGGTCTTATGTCAGTCAAATGCAGAACTGAGAACCTAGACAGTGGGTTAAAGAGAGTGTGAGAGACGTATGGTTTCACACAGACCAGCAGAAGAAACAGGCTGAGTTCATTCTCTGAGGACCACAAATCAAAGGACTCAAAGGTGACATGCAAATTCAGCCTGGAGCCGGTTCTACCACTCTTCCTGTGGGCACAGCCCAGCCTGGGCAGGATAGGTAGGGACCACCCCAGGGCCTATGCCCCAATTAATCCTCATTAGGAACAATCATATTTCAGATCCCGAGATGGGCTTCTAGCCAGGCCTTAGGCCAGAGCCAGGGAGCTCTCTGGGGCTCTCAGGTCCTTATCACCATAAGCAAGGAGGCGAGAAGCTTGGAGGTTGGTCGGCTTCGCTCTATCCTCCAGGCCCGAGGGAGTCCACTGAGTTCTGCTGGGCTGGAGGGCCAGTGAACGTCTCTTGCTGTCTTCAGGCAGGTTGGTGGGACCAGGAGCTCAGCAGTCTGTGCCTTCTCTCTCACGGACATTGAGCGCGTCTTTAAAGGAAAATACAAGGAGCTGCACAAGGAAACTTCCCGCTGGACCACTTACAGGGGCCCAGAGGCCAACCCAAGGCCTGGCAGTGTGAGTACCACCCACTGCTCCCAGAGCCTCCTGGAATGTGTGTAAAAGCACCATCATAGTGTGGTAAATGCCCACACACCCAGCCCAGCTGCCCATATATCACAGATGGTCAATACCGCCCTATATCCAGAACAGTCTTTCCCAGGGCTAAGTGAGCACCAGATACCTGGCTATATCACCAAAGAATTAGGAGCACATGGGCTGGGTGCCAGGCACAGTCTCTGACAGCTTCACCTGAGACAGAGCCTCACGTAACCCACCCTGGCCTTGAACTCCTTCCTGCCCTGCCTCCACCTCCCAAATGCTTGGCTTTCAGTCAGGTGCTACCATGCCCAGCTTTTCACCTGCATGTTTTCCTGTAATTTTTTTTTTAATCTGAATTATGTGTGGGCAGACTGAAAAAAAAATCAAACAGGCTGAGCGCAGCTGTGCACACCTGTAATCCCAGCCCTCAGAAGGAAGCAGGGTATCAATGAAAATTCAGGGCAAGTCTCAAACTCGCCTCCTGCCTTTACCCAACGGGTGGATTACAGGCATGAACCACCGCTCTCTCTTCTCTCCTACAGATCTCCTTTCAAACTCATGGTCTGTGTCACAACATTGGTAGCTTGAAATTATTATTACAATTATTGTTTTTTTTTGAAACAGGTTTTCTCTGTGTAGCCTTGGCTGTCCTGGACTTGCTTTGTAGACCAGGCTGGCCTTGAACTCACAGCCATCTGCCTGCCTCTGTTTCCCTGAGTGCTGGAATTACAGTTGTGTGAACCACACCCAGCTTTTGAAATTTTTTTAAAAAGGTGGTGAGCATCTTGGAAATTAGCAAATTCCGCAGATCAGCTTTCCATTGTTCCCTTCCCAATGTTCTAATCTATTCATGTGTGAGTGTTAACAGGTGGGCTTTTTCTTTGATTCTGGGAATCAGACCCAGGACCACACAAGTGCCCAGCAAGGGCTCGAACACTGAGCCACAGTTCCCACCCCTAGTAATTTTTAAAATTAATTTTATTTATTTATTTCTGTGAAGGCAACCCACACGTGTGGGTGCACGTGTATCATGGTTAGAGAATGACTCTGAGGAGTCGGTTCCCTTCTATCATGGTCAGATTTGCCTCATGAGCCATCTTTTTAAATTCATTCTATGTATATGAGCATGCCTGACAGACATTCTATTACCAAAGCTGTCCCCAGCCCTTCACCTCACTTCAACCATCTCCTTTTTTTTTTTTTTCAAGACAGGGTTTCTCTGTGTAGCCCTGGCTGTCCTAGAACTCACTCTGTAGCTGGTCTTGAACTCTGAGCTCCATCTGCCTCTGCCTCCTGAGTTCTGGGATTAAAGATGTGTGCCACACACCACCCACATTAATGACCTCATTTTAGTGGAGGCCATCCTCAATAGATTCCCGATAAAACAAAGACACAGGCAGGTAAGATTCTGGAGATGTTGAATGCTTGAAACCACCTTTATTCCTCTCTTACAGCTGATGGTTTAGCTAGGAAGACATAGTTTTAGAGTTGCAGCCATTTCCTGACAATGAGTTGCAACACTCACTCTGTGACCTGTAACTTCCGTTTTGAAGATTTCCTAAGCTGCTTTGGGTGCCCAACCTTTTGGATGTGACTTGTTTTCTCTCACTGGACTCTTTTAATGTTTATATTGTGCATCTGTCTGTTTGTTTGGTGTGAGAGGGTCAGAGGTCAGTTCTCTCCTTCTGTTAGGAAGACAGCGCCGGCTGCTCGGGCTTGGCAGCACTCGCCTTTCCCTGCTGAACTGCCTAGCCAGTCCCTGGGGCTCACATAGTCCACTTGGGCTTGCATGGTCTCTGGCTTGAAGTGGGTGTCCAGTGGACCATTCTAGCAGCCTGGAAATTTCATTTATTTTCTTCACTTCTAAAAAATTTTCTTGTGGTCAGTTCTAAGTCACTGTTTTATTGCTTTGAGGAGCTATCATGACACAGACAGCTTGTGAAAGAAAGCATTTAGCTGGGGGCTTGTTTCCGCTTCAGAGGGTGAGTCCATGATCGGCATGGCAGGAAGCATGGCTGCAGGCAGCCATAGTGCTGGAACAGTAGCGGAGAGCTTTATATCAGTGCGTGGGCAGGAGGTAAAGAGAGAGACACTGAGCCTGGCGTGGCTCAAAACCTCAAAGCCCACCCCATTGACCCACCTTCTCCATCAAGGCCACACCTCCTAATTCTTCCTAAATAGTCCACCAGTGTGGGGCAGGGGTCCGAACAGTCAAACACATGAGCCTATTGGGGCCATTCTCCTTGAGCCCTGGCATATAGGTTCAGCTTGATGGTGGAGCACCAGCCTAGCATGCCTATGGCCTTGGGCTCCATGCCCAGGACTTCCAGACAGAAAAGTTTCCTTGAGCTGTTTCTCCTTCTTTCCTTTTCATTGGACATATATTAATTTTTTCATGTGCTACCGTTGTGGGCACTGGGGTGCAGGACTGATCGAGTCGGAACTCAAGCCTCCCCATTCTGGAACTCACTTTTTAAAAAGACTTTTTTTTTTTTTTTTAAATTGGTTCTTTGAGACAGGGTTTCTCTGTGTATCCCTGGCTGTCCTGGACTTGCTCTGTACACCAGGCTGGCCTCGAACTCATGCTGGAATTAAAGGCTTGAGCCACTACACTTGGCTAAAACTAAAAAAAAAAAAACAAAACCTAATTTATTATTATTTTATGTGTACGAGTGTTTTGCCTTCAGGTATGTACGTGCAGCATGTATGTGCTTGGTGCCTGAGGAGGCCCAACGTGGGTGCTGGACCCCCGGAACTAGAGTGATAGAGGATGTGAGCTACTCCATGGGTGCTGGGCTCTGAACTCAGATTCTCTTCGAGATCAGTTAGATACTGTGTGCCACTGGATGACCTCTCCAGGCCCCTTGTTTTAGTTTATCTTTTGAAAGAGGTTTTGCTGTGTAACTCAGCCTGGTTTCGAGGTTGCAATTCTCTGGCCTCTGTCTTTCAAGTGCTGTGCTGACAGACTTCTGGTTCTGTCACAGATATCTTAAAGCAGTGTGTTTTTCAACCTGTGGGCTGCAACCTCTTTGAGGGAGGGGGGTTGAATGACCCTTTCACAGGGCCGCTTAAGACCATCTGTGTTTCACAGATATTTGCATTATGATTCATAAGAGTAGCAATTCTTTTTCACAAGACAGAGTTTCTCTGTGTAGCTCTGGCTGTCCTGGTCACTCTGTAAGACCAGCCTGGGCCTCGAACTCAATGATCTGCTTGTCTCTGCCTCCTGAGTGCTGGGATTAAAGGCGTGTGCCACCACTGCCTGGCTCAACAATAGCAAAATTACAGTCATGAAGTAGCAACAAAAATAATTTTATGGTTGGGGGTCACCACAACATAAGGAACTGTATTAAAGGGTCGTAGCATTAGGAAGGTTGAGAACCGCTGTCATAAAGGGTTTTTTGCTGTGTGTGCATATATATGCACATATTTGTGTGTATGTGTGTGTACGTGTGTGTATGTATATGTGTATATGTGTGTGCATGAATGTTATAGGCCAGAGGTTGATGTTCTGTTTCTTCCTCATTTATTTCACCATCTTTTCTTTTCTCTTTTTTTTTCTTTCTTTTTACTATGGTGTCTTGGCTGGCCTAGCACTTATTTAGACCAGGTTGACCTAGAACTCACAGAGCTCTGCCTGCCTCTGGCTCCCATGTGCGGAGACTACAATGCCCAGCTTTCTGTCTTGTTTTCTGAGGTTTATCTCTCATCGAACCTGGGGCTTGTTGATTGGCTAGACCAGCTGACCAGTGAGCCCTTTTGTCTCCACCTCCCAACACGGGATTACAGGCACATACAGACCTGGCTTTTATGAGGATCCTGGGGACCCAATATACAAACACCTGCGATTAAAGGCATGTGCCACAGCTGTCTGGTCACCCAGCCTCCAAATATTAATACTTCGGTCTGTTTACTTGAGTCAAGATCCGCAGAGATCTACAAATTAGGATAGATTGTTCTCGTAAGTCTCTTTCATCTATATTTTATTTTCTTTTTCAGATTTATTTTTGTAGCCAGGCTACTTATTTTTGTTTATGTATATATGTTCGTGTGTGTTTCTGCATGTGCTACCTGTGTTCGGGACCCAGCAGAGGCCAGAAGAGGGTATCAGGTCCCCTGGAGCTGGAGCTATGAGTGAGCCACACAACAGTGGTTCTGGGAACCCGCCCTGCTCCTGGATGAAGAGCAAGCATTCTCAATTGATGAGCCATTCCCTCCCCCACCCCTTTCGCCTCGCAATTTACCCCCTGTCTTACATCTTTGTCTAGTCTAGATCCTTGTTTCTAGATCTTGTTTCTGTGAGGTAGTTTACCTAGGGGGGTGTGTGTGTCTGTGTGTGTGTCTGTGTGTGTGTCTGTGTGTGTGCGAGTGTATTGAGACAGGGTTTCAACATAGCCTGAGCTGTCCTGGGACTCTCATCTTAGCTAAGGCTGACCTTGAATTCCTGAACCTCTTGCTTTTACTACCCAAGTGCTGAGTTTACAGGCTTGGGTCACCAAGTCCAGGTCAGCGCTCTTGTAAATACACACTTGTTAGACTGGAGACTTGGTCAGAGTCGGCTGGGATTTGAAGGTGAGCTGGCTGCTTTACTGTGGTCGGCGGCTCCTCCCTTAGGATAAGAGTGTGGTTCCTGCCTGTTCTCTTCCTGTATGGTTGAGGCCTCCTCTAGTTTCAGGAAGGAGGCAGCTCCCTCTCCCCTGCCCTCTCAAGAGAGGGATGGGATTTTCTGTGACATTTTCTTCTTTTTGAATTGTTTTTGTTTCTTCATAGGTGTTCATTTTGTTTTTCCCTTCTCCCCTCACTCTCTCTTTTCTCTCTCTCTCTCTCTCTCTCTCTCTCTCTCTCTCTCACTAGTTTAAAAAAATCAGGGCCTGGAAATATGTCTCAGTGGTTAAAAGCACTGGCTGCTCCTCCAAAGGACATGGATTTGATCCTAGCACTCACATGGTGGCTCATAACCGTCTGTACCTCCAGTTCCAGGGAACCCAACATCCTCTTCTCATTTCCCTAGGCATCAGGCATGCACAGAGTACACCGACCAACCAACATAGGAAAAACACCCATATGCAAAAAAGAAATTTAAATAAAAAAATATTGTTGGGGGGCAGGGGAGTTGGAGACAGGTCTCTCTATTGTGTAGCACTGGCCGACCTGGAACTTGTTATGTAGACCAGGCTGGCCTCAAACGCACAGAGCCTGTCTTCCCAGTCCTGGGATTAGAAGCATGCGCCACCACACTTGGCTTTATCTTGGGGTTGTGTTTCTTTTCTTTTTGTGTGGTTTAGTTTGTATTGTTCACAGTTGGACCCAGGAATCTGGTGTCCTTGGCTGTGTACATAGAAATGTACATAGGTGGCTCCCACCTATAATTCCAGTAAACAGGAGACTGAGGCAGACTGAGAGTTCAAGGCCAGCCTCGGGCTACACAACAAGGCCATGTGTGGAATTGTGGCGTAGGAGAGGCTGGAGATGTGGCTCAGTGGTTAAGAGTGCTTACTGGTTGTGTAAAGGACCTGAATTTAGTTCCCAGCATCCGCGCCAGGCAGCTCCAGGGACTCTGATACCTCTGGCTTCCACACATATATACATAGAGAAAAGGTAATAAAATTAAATATTTAAAAATACGTTAAAAAAAAATCTCCATAGAAGGAGGCAAAAAGTAGGTGCATGTGTTCTTTGCTGGCCCTGGATATAGATGTCCTCTCACAGTTTAATCTGTGGCTCGCAGAGGTGAGGAAACTTGTGTTACCTCACCTTGCACTGACCACACCGCACAGCTTGTAGGTGACAGTTGGGAGTGGCTTCAGGGTGATGCTGCTGGATAGGAAGGACAGTTATTTTGAGCAAAGCCATTCTCCAGTTGACGGGGCCTTGACAGAACAGCCTGTCCAATACCCTCGAGTATGAGTGAGGAAAGAGGGCTCAGAACGGAAGAACTCCCCCAAGTCACACAGCAAGTTCATGTAGAACTGCCACACCGTCCCTTCCTGTCACACCTCCATTCTGTACTGATTCAGCGCTGACTGTACTGTGGCCTGTGCCTCGCCAGGAACCGCAGACACAGCAAAGCCGAGTGCTTGCCTGAAGCATGCTTTGTCCTGGCATTGATGTGGGCATGGAAGGGCAGGGCAGTGAAACAGCTCACACTTGCACAGGGCACGCGGCCCTGCTCCCGCCAGTTACTTTTCATGTCTTAGTGCACTCAGTGTCACAGAGAGCCTAGGAGCCCTGGGTGTGAGTTTTACCCACCACCTTGAACTGATGTCTGCCCTGAGGAAAGAGGGCAAAGAAGGGTGGAGATGGAGAGGGAGGGTGCATCCATATATATGCCAGGTGGTACGATCTGCTCCCCTCTTCCTGCAGTGCTCCGCAGGCCCCTCCTCTGACAAGGCCTTGACCTTCATGAAGGACCATTTCCTGATGGATGAGCACGTGGCAGGCACACCGCTGCTGGTGAAGTCTGGGGTCGAGTACACACAGCTTGCGGTGGAGCCAGCTCGTGGCCTTGATGGGAGCAGCCACGTGGTCATGTACCTGGGCACATGTGAGTATGGGCTTCCAGACTCTACCTGGGAGGAGCAGAACAGGGACTGAAGCCAGGCTGAGGCAGAAAGCCTGTGAGCTCATCCACTTGTTCAGTTCACTCATTTAACAGCTGTTTAGTGGGGGAGCCCCTGATGGGCTCAGGAGACACAGTGAAGCAGCAGGACAACCCAGGCTCCAGCTTCCTGAGCTTTCTGTCTGCTGGGGAACACATGCTGGACCTTTTCAGATCTCAGAAGGCTCTGCCTCCTGAGGGAAGGCATAGCAGAGGCAGGGATGACTGGATAGACAGGGCAGCATGACTGAAGGGGCCATCAAGGGTCACCTGGAGAAGGGGTAGGGCCAGGCTTCCCACCCCCGTCCTCGCCCTGACAGCCTCATGCAGCCCATACTGATCTCATACTTACTGTGTAAGACTGACCTTAAACTTCTTTTTTTTTTGGGGGGGGGTAATTTTAATTTTTCTTTTTTATATTAATTGCAGTTTATTCACTCTGTATCCCAGCTGTAGCCCCTTCCCTTATTCCCTCCCAGTCCCACCCTCCCTCTCTGACTTTAAACTTCTGATCCACCTGCCTCTACCTCCCAAGTGCTTGGATCACAAGTACAGGACACCATGCCTCAAGCCTAGTTTTATGTGGTTCTGGGGATTGAACTTGGGGCTTCACATGCTGCCAGCAAGACTTTACCAGCTGGGGTATGTCCTTAGCCCCACCATGTTTCAATAGACAGAAAAGACTATTCAATATACAAGAAAGGATCCAGTAAAGAGGGTGATGCAAAGATGGCAAGAGAGAAGGCCCTCAGCAGGTCAAGCTGTGAAGAAAACAGGAGGTTGGGCCATCCAGGGAGCTCCTGTCCTCAGGCCCTGTGTCTTCTAGAAAGCAGGAGGATCAGGGTCACAAGCCAAGAATAAGGGTGGGCTCAGGAGAGAGGGGTGTGTTGTGGGTTATTAATGTTTATTATTGATTTGTCTTTTAGTTAGGCTGTGGTTATTCCTAAATCAGCTGTACACACCACGCAGAGACAGGGTTTATTTAGTTAACCTAGAGCACAATGCTGGGCAACAGTTACTCCATCCTAAACCTCCAAGCCCGCATGGTTTCCTCCCATCCAGATTTCCCACACTGTGCTTGCTTTTAGTCATATCTCACAGGTCCAGTTAATCTCTCCTCACGGTTCCAAGTCCTGTCCTGTGGATCTCTCCTCCCTAACTCCTCCCACTTGCTTCTTTCTCCTCCCCTCCGGACCAGGATGTCCCACCCTATTCTCTCCATTGCTCAGCATTGCTGGTTGTTTAATTGACAATATAGAGAACAAATGGTGGCATGTTTACACAAACTTGAGACAGGTGATGCTTTGAATAAACATCACAATGCAGTGTCCAGATTGAAACTAGAGAAATCAGCATTTGAATGAACAAGGGTAAATTGTATACATTCCACAAGAACATAGTACCAACAGGAGTGGATCTAACTGTTGTTCTGGAAAGAGATGGACCTTCAGCTGGGGAATGTGGGTAGATTGCTGAGCAGACTAAGGGCTTGTGCTTTACTGGGAGGAAGCCACTGGGTTCATTCGCTCTTCCAGGCCCTGTTAGAAGGTGTGTCTCTGCTGTGCCTTTGCTGAGCGTGCAGTAGGAAAAACACAGACCAAAATTCCCAGGTTTGCGGGGTTGGCAGATGCAGAGTATAACTTTTCTGAATGAGAAAACTGCACAATGCATTAGCTACATGATTAGAAAGCCAAGTAGGGCAGAGGGAGGGGATCCTGCCAGGGGAGTCTGCCTTCTTTAGTGACAGGGTCTCTCATTCTGTTCCTCAGGCTAGGTGCCAACTTTGTAAAATATTTTATTTTTGAGATAGGGTCTCACTGTGTCACCCTTGGCTGGTCTGACCCTCACTATGTAGACCAGGCTGACCCAGAACTTATAGAGATCTGCCTGCCTCTACCTCCCTAGTGCTGGGATTATTTTTTTGTTTTGTTTTGTTTTTTCTTGAGACAGGGTGTCATTCTATAGTCCAGGCTGGCCTGGAACTCGTAATTCTCCTGCCTCAGATTTCTGGGTGCTGGGAAGTTGCAACTGTTAAAAGGGTGGTTGGAAGCAGGGCTTTGGTATTGCAGGCCTGTAATCCTAGTTACTCGGGAAACTGAGTCAGGAGGAGCACATGTTAGTCCCGCGTAGCTACAAAGTCTCAAGAAAGTAAAAAGAGGACTGGGAACGTGGCTGAAGGGGAGAGCACTTCCCTAGATAGGCTGGGGAGAATTCAGATGCTCAAAACCCACGTAAAAGCTGCGTCTGCACTGGGTACCTCTAAACCCAGCACTGAGGGGTAGAAGGCAGGGCCAGACAGGCTCCCGGGTGCTTATTTACTGGGCAGTCAGTCTAGATGATCCATGAGCCCCAAGTTCAATGAGAGAGAGAGAGAGAGAAAGAGAGAGACCCGTCTCAGCAGATACAGTAGAGTGACCTTGTCCTCCACATGGGTGCGGGCCCAGACACCTGAGAGGCACACACATCACACGCACAAGGAAAGAAAGCTGGCTACCGGAGCCCTCCACCCCTGGTCTGTGAAGGGACAGAGCGTGTGCCTGGCTGGCCGGGGAGGTGTGTGAGGGCAGTAAGCTCTACCCTGTCTCTGCAGCCACGGGGTCCCTGCACAAGGCCGTGGTGCCTGAGAACAGCAGCGCTTATCTCGTGGAGGAGATCCAGCTGAGCCCTGCTCCTGAGCCTGTTCGGAACCTGCAGCTGGCCCCCACCCAGGTGAGAAGGGACAGTTCATGGTCTTTCTGTGGGGAGGACCTGGGGAGCCGGGGCCAGGGTAACACCCTCCTGACACCGTCCACCTCTCTCCCAGGGCGCAGTGTTTGCAGGCTTCTCGGGAGGCATCTGGAGAGTTCCCCGGGCCAGTTGCGGTGTTTATGAGAGCTGCGTGGACTGTGTCCTTGCCAGGGACCCCCACTGTGCCTGGGACCCCGAGTCAAGTGTCTGCAGCCTTCTGCCTGGCTCCCCCCTGTGAGTGCCAGTCCTGGGTGGCAGCTGAAGACAGTCTGCCAGGCTTCCCCTTCCCCGGCTTCTGCATCTATTCTTCCCCTCTCAAAGGGCACCAACACATTCACTCCTAGATTCCACCCTTCTGGGTCTAGTTCTCGCACATGGCCTTCTGCAGGGCAGTTTTGAAGCTGCCCTTGTTTTTTCCTCTATCTGGTCTTGCTAGCCCATCCTCTTCCCTTTAGTCCTCCCCACCCCCACACACTTCAGTCTGTTTTAAGAGCTGCATTTGCTTGCTTTGTCTTCTCAGGACCTCCTGGAAGCAGGACATGGAACGTGGCAACCCGGAGTGGGCATGTGCCCGAGGCCCCATGGCTAGGAGCCCCCGGCGTCAGAGTCCCCCTCAACTTAGTGAGTGTGTTGTCAGAGGAGGTGCCAAGGCACTGGAGGGCTTCCGACAGGGCTGGCTTTTCTGCCCCATGGCTTCTGCAGCACCTGCCTAGGCTGAGACCTAAGTCTCTGAGTCAGGATGGTTCTGAAGCGGCCTGCGGACAGCTCCGAGGAATTTTGAGCTGGGTTCAGGTTGAGGTCAATGTGGGTTTGGTGTCTGAATTGAATTTAAAAACACTGGAGGCTGCCTATAGCCACACCTCTTTGAACAGGCCACATGTTGGCTGATATCAGAAGCTGAGGGTTGACCTGGTTAGAAGTTAGATGGGAGAAAGACTGGGGGCTTGTTTGGGGTCTAGCTTGGAGATGGAGAAGGGTTGAGCTTGAGCTTGGGAGTTGAAATAGAATCAGAAGACAGACAGGCATGGTGGTCCGTGCTACTAATCCCAGATACCAGGATTGCTGAGAATGCAAGGCCAGCCTGGGCTACAAAATGAGACCAGATGCAAGTAAGGCTGGCTTCCCCCCCCCCCCCTGACTGTGTCATGTCTTTGCTGCCCACCAGTTAAAGAAGTCCTGGCAGTCCCCAACTCCATCCTGGAGTTGCCCTGCCCGCACCTGTCCGCACTGGCCTCTTACCACTGGAGTCATGGCAGAGCCACAATCCCAGAAGCCGCTTCCACTGTCTACAACGGCTCCCTCTTGCTGCTGCCTCAGGATGGCGTTGGGGGCCTCTACCAGTGTGTGGCCACCGAGAACGGCTACTCGTACCCTGTGGTCTCCTACTGGGTAGACAGCCAGGACCAGCCCCTGGCCCTGGATCCTGAGCTGGCTGGCATTCCCAGGGAGCGCGTGCAGGTCCCACTGACCAGGGTCAGCGGTGGCGCTTCTGCGGCTGCCCAGCGGTCTTACTGGCCCCACTTTCTCATTGTCACTGTCCTCCTGGCCATAGTGCTCTTAGGAGTGCTCACTCTCCTCCTGGCTTCCCCGCTGGGAGCGCTTCGGGCTCGGGGCAAGGTTCAGGGCTGTGGGATGCTGCCCACCTTGGAGAAGGCCCCGCTGAGTAGGGAGAAGAACCTCCAGCCCTCCAAGGACCACAGCACCTCTGCCAGTGACGTAGATGCTGACAACAACCATGTAGGCACTGAAGTGGCTTAAAGTGAGAGCGCAGATGGGGAGCTGAGCGGAGCAGGCACCCGGCAATGTTGGCTGGGGCAGGCACAGTGCCACTCTGACCAGGGTAGGAGGCTCTCCTGCTGCCGTGTGGCACCTACAGAACCCCGGAGGGCCTCCCCTGAGGGGCTCTCTTCTGCAGGCACGTGGGCTCTCTCCTCACCTGCACCCAGGCCATGACAGCAAGAGCCAGACAGGATTCTTCAGGTTTGATCAACCCCAAGAGCCCTCCGGCAACCTACCCGCTCCAGAAGACCCTGAAAGGTGTGGCTGCCCAGGATTCTGCGGTGACAGACCCAAGCATCAGAGCAAGCTGGGGCTGTTCCTACAGACTCCATCCTGACAGCTGCCGCTCCGGAAGCAGCTGTTGCTTCGAACACCAGCCCTTCCTTCTCCCGGGGTCTCCAGGACTCCTTAGGGAGTTGGCCCCTTGTGCTTCCCTTACCAATCATGCCCTACTGTTTGGGAAGTCTTTTCTGAAGTCTGATCACCTTCCTTCTTGCTTCAGTTTGGACAGATTGTTGTCGTGTCTGCCCTGGCTGGAATGGGGGGCATAATCTGAGCCTTGTTCACTCGTCTAGTGTGGCTGACCCCTTCTTGAACTCTTCCTTCCTCTTCCCTTTGTTTTGGGAGTCAGAAAACTGCTTGTCACAGACAATTTATTTTTTATTAAAAAAGACATAAGCTTTAAGCAAAGCTTACTGTGTGCTGTTTCCTCTGTGGCCAAGTTCCCACAGGAAGGTCTGTGTGGAGAACCAGGTCTGTGGTGGTGCCCTGCAGCCTCTGCCAGCCCCAGCCTGCCCCAGGCAGCCCTTCCCTGTATCCTGGGTAGGGGTAGGATCGTGTGGACCAGCCTCAGCTGTGCCTTCCAGACACTCTGGCTGCCACACCTGCTGTCCCCGGCACACCCACGTTCATCGTGACTCCAGTTCAGCTCTGGCCCCAGCAGCAGCGTTTCTGGAGGTGTTCCACAGCCACCCCCAATCTGGCCCTGTCTGTCTACACAGCTGAAAAGGCAGGCTCTATCCACACCTCCCCGCACTGCCTTCTTCTCCCTCTGCCAGGAGGCCCACATCAGCCTCCTGTCCCTCTGCTCTCTAATGTGACTCTCAGCAGGGCTCCACCTCACCTACCTGGCTTCCTCCTTCTGACCACAGGAGTGCACACGCCATGCAAAACAGAACACACAAATTAGGGGTAGCCATCTGTAATCCCAGCACACAGGAGGCAGAGGCAAGAGAACACAGAGATGAAAACTAACCTGGGCTATGTAGTAAGACAGAGGCCAACCTGGACTACAAGAATGTCTCAAAACACCAAAACCAAAAAGCCAGTCACCTTCCCAGTCTGTGCCTATCCATTCTGTGCTTGGCTCCCCTTTCCTATTACCAAGAACAGCAAAGAGGGTCCACTGTGGCCTCTCTCTGTCCCCTTCTCTACCTCTCCTTAAGCCCCTATGGGGTAGCTCTCCCCACCTCCCTGCTCCATGGCCTCACTAAGATCACCATGAAGTTTCTAGCAGCGGCCTCTCCCTGGCATTTACCACTCTGCTGCTGCTTTTTCTTTTTCGGTTTAATTTTATTGACTTTCTGTGTGCAGCAAGGGGCATACCTGTGCTATGACACAATCATGACACAATCATGGAGTCAGTTCCCTTCCGTTGTGTGTGTCTTTGGGACAAAGTCAGGTTGTCAGGCTGGGCAGCGAGCGACCACACAGGATTCTTTTGTGAAGGCTGAATAATGTTCCACTATGTGCACCTGCCGCCTCTTGAGTCTCCAGTTATCCACAGAGAGTATCCGGGTTGCGTTTGTCCCTTTGCCCCTGGTTATTGCGAACAATGCTGCCGCACTCAACAGACAGTTGCAGGACTTTCCGAGCCTGCTCACTGTGCTCCGGTGTTCGATGTATTTGTATGTGTGTATGAGAATATGGTCTACGGTATGTGCACGCCACATATGTTCAGATCCCCTGGACCCGTTATAGGCGGTTGTGAGCTGCTTGATATGGGTCCTCAGCCAGAACAGCAAGTGCTCTTAACCATCTCTCCAGCCCCTAGTTGCTTTCTTTGTTTGGTTTGTTTTTAGTTAATTTATTTATTATATATACAATAGCTGCATTATGTCTTCACATCAGAAGAGATCTCATTATAGATGGTCGTGCGTGAGCCACCATATGGCTGCTGGGAATTGAACTCAGGACCTCTGGAAGAGCAGCCAGTGCTCTTAACCTCTGAGCCATCTCTCCAGCCCCCTTGTTTTGTTTTGTTTTTAAGATAGTGTTTCTCTGTGTAGCCTTGGCTGTCATGGCACTCACAATGTAGACCAGGCTGGCCTCAAACTCACTGAGATCAGCCTGCCTCTGCCTCCCCAGAGCTGGGATTCCAGGTGTTCCAGCTGTTTGTTGTTGTTACTGTTGTTTTGTTTTTCCAGACAGCGTTTCTCTGTGCAGCCCTGGCTGTCCTGAACTCACTCTGTAGACCAGGCTGGCCTCAAAGTCAGAGATCCACCTGCTTCTGCCTCCGAAGTGCTGGGATTAAAGGTGTGTGCACCACCACCGCCCAGCTGTTTATTTTTTATTGGAGCAATTTGACTTCTTCCATTTCTTTTCTCCCTGTGTACTCCTTTTCTTCCTCATACCCTGACAGCAACTTAGCTGAGGGCCCTGCCTTCTCCACCCTGGCCTTTCCCCAGCTGGTCTTGCTGCTCCCAAGGTGCTAGAACAAGGTGCTTTTCTCGTGGAGCCTGGGGAGGAGGGCTCCAGGGGCTGTCCTGTGCTGCTTGGGAACCTGGGCAGCCTTTCTTGGTTGACCCCCAGTTTCTCCAGCTGTTGAAGGCCTGGGCAAGGAAACAGTCATGCTTTTCAGTATTGTGGGTCCCTCACCACCCCAGAGCCTAGCTTTCTCTCCTGCCGCAGAAGGCCCTCACGCTGCTGCTCATCATTATGTGACTCACCCAGAGGTTTCTTGAACCATTTCCTGTCGTGGATAATTGTGGATAATTCCGGGGGCCAACGGGGCTGAGCTAGGGAATACCTCGAAAGCTGGCAGAACATTGCTTCTGCAAGGCTATCTCTAGAGCAGACAGACAGCACATTGGCTGGCCCATCCTTAGGTGGCGGTGGCGGGCACCAGCTAGCTAACCTTCCGGACACCAGTATTCACACCAGTGCCCCAGCTTCTTAGACTCAAGTGGAGAGTCACACTTGTCCTGAGGTTTTAGGACTTGTGCTTACTCACCCTGGCTGCATCCTGGGGCCTCCAGCTTGCAAGCGGCCTGTTATGGGATGCCTCAGCTTCTATAATCATGTGAACCATTTTCTCCAATAATCCCCTATCCACCTGTCTCCTGCTGCCTGACTATCTATCTATCTATCTATCTATCTATCTATCCATCATCTATCGGGATTGGGGATTTAGCTCAGTGGTAGAGCGCTTGCCTAGCAAGCGCAAGGCCCTTGGTTCGGCCCTCAGCTCTGGGAAAAAAAAAAAAAGACAAAATAACAAAAAGACCAAAAAACAAGGTAACTATCTATCTATCTATCTATCTATCTATCTATCTATCTATCTATCATCTATGATCTATGTTTATATGTATGTATCTATCATCTATGTATGTATCTATCTATCATCTATCATTTCTATTTATCATGTATGTATGTGTCAATCATCTATCTATCATTGCCTATCATGTATGTATGTATGTATGTATGTATGTATGTATGTATGTATGTATCTGTATGTCTGTCTGTCTACCAGTGGATCTATCTATTCATCCATTCATCCTTTTTTTTCACTGTGGAGATCCATACCTAATAAACCCCTCTCACTGCCCTCACCCCTGCATGATGACTTTGCTTGTCTGTTCACTGCTCTCATGTTTCAGATACTATGAACAATGCTGCTATGAACACAGAAATATAAATGCTCCCCAGAAACAGACCTAATAGATCATACAGTAGCAACTGTTTGTCTTTAGAAGGACTGCCCTGTGTTGCCACCACTTAACACAGGCTCCAATATCTCCACATCCGTTTATGCCAAAACTTGTTTTTTGTTTGTTTTTTTTTTTATTTCTCAGAACCATTCTAGTAAGTGTCATAAGGTGCTTCATTGCAGGCTTTTAAGATTTAAATTTTTTATTTATGGGCAGGACTATTCTGCTTACATGTATCCTACATGTATGTCAGGTGCCTGCGGAGTTCATGAGGGTGTCAGATCCCTTGAAACTGAAGTTACAGGTAGCTGTGAGCCACCATGTGGGTGCTTGAAGCTGAGGCACTTCTTCAGCCCCAGCTCCATTTTCCCCTTCAGTTATTTATATGTGCCGCTCTCGTAGAGAACCCAGGTTTGGCACATATGTCAAGGAGATCTGACTCTATCTTCCAGTTTGCTTGGGACCTGCACTTATGTATGCACATACATGTACACACACACACAGACACACACACACAGACATACACAGACACACATACACAGACATACACACAGACACACACACACACACACACACACACACACACACACACACACACACCTTTTTAAAAAGCTTAGGAAACAACAGAACCACCAAACTCCTGTCTTTTAAACTCCATTAAAAAAAATCTTCAAAGTACCCAGGGCCTTTGAGCACTTCTCCACCCAGTACCCAGTGTGGCCTTTGCTCACTCTTCACAGCATAGTTCCTTCTTGTATGTTCTATTGCTTTGCTTTTTATTACATTTATTGATTGAAGTCTGAGTGTGTGGGGGGTGAGTGCCACAGCACGTAAGTGGAAGTCAGAGGACTTATGGTATAGCCATTCTCTTTCTCCACCATGTGGATCCGGGGCGCAAACTCATCAGGCTTGGCGAACAGGCATCTTGTTTTTTCTTTAATTAAGTGTACATTTGTGTACCTGCGTCTATTGTGCCTGTGCGTTGTGTGTACCTGTGTGCGTGCCTGTAAGTGCCCACAGAGGCCAAAGGAGTCATCTGTAGTTACCCCCTGCATCTGTAGTTACAGATGTTAGTGGGTCAGCTCCTGTGGCTCTGTGACCTAAACTCCCAGCGTCTGCAGGAGTGACACACTCTTAATCACTGAGGCGTCTCCCCAGAGCCTCAATTCTTTTAGTCATTTTAAAAATCTTTTTAAAAAGATTTATCTATCTATCTATCTATCTATCTATCTATCTATCTAGATATCTATCTATCTATCTAGATATCTATCTATCTATCTATCTAGATATCTATCTATCTATCTAGATATCTATCTAGATATCTATCTATCTATCTATCTATCTATCTATCTATCTATCTATCTATCTAGATATCTATCTATTTATTTATTTTATGTCTGAATGCTCTATCTGCCTGTATGTCCGCATGCCGGAAGCTGGCATGAGATTCCAGTATAGATGTTCCCAGCATGTGGTTGCTGGGAATCGAACTCAGGACCTCTGGAGGAGCAGACGGTGCTCTTATCTACTGAGCTATGGCTCTAGCTGCCTTTTTAGTCATTTCGTTAGTTTTGTTCTTTGAGTGTGAGTATTTTGCTCACACATATGTGGGTGTACCATGTGATGCCTTGTGCCCAGTGGACCCAGAAGGAGGCCTGGGATTTCTTGGAACTGGAGTCAAGGACTACTGTGAGCTACCATGTGGTGTGGGGAATGTATCTGGGGTCCTCGGCAAACACAAGTGCTCTTAACTGATGAGCC